TGACACAGTATCTAATACAAAAAAGATGATCCCCTCCTTTCTACTTGAAACACGACCCTTCCCTTGTATATGTCAGGGTACACCAGGCTTCTGAAATCATTTTCTCTCCCACATGGAGCCATTATCCTGCCTCTAGTCCTAGTGTAACGTCATATTGAGGCAAAGAAAAAATACATGTGTATGCCGTAATGGGAGCACCTGTCTGTGAAATTATAAATTACTGAGAATTTTTCAATTTCAAAATCATTGCATTGATTTTTTTTAATAATGGACATGGTTAAACATAAAACACAAAAGAGTAAGAGATATTTTCTTTTTTTAATAATTATTTATTTTATTTATTCATTCATTTATTTTTTAGTTTGATCAGAGAGAGACAGAGGGTGAGAGTGAGAGAGAGAGAAAGTGAGAAAGCAAGCCACCAGATTAAGTACTCAAACCCTGGTCGGCCATGTGGGAGTTTTCTAGCGCCTTAGCCACCACACCACCTGCTGGTCCCCAGTAAGATACATTTTATGAAACACTACTATAGGAGTCCAGAATATAAATTGAAAGAGAGCACATATAGCAGAAAGACCTTCTCCAAATTTGTGGGCCCAGGTCCCTGGTGCAGAAAGTATGGGAGAGACTCAGGGCTCCCAGGCCTAGTGCTGGGGGATTCATGGGAGTAATTGGACACTCCAAGCCCTGCCCCAAACCAGCCCATGCCAGTGATTCCATCAAACGAGCTCCATGTGGAACAGTCAGAAAGACAAGCACATCCAGCAGCAGATCTGACTTTGAGGTGTTGCAGTGGTTCCCATTGCTGGAACCAGCAGTTAGCATAATGGCTATGTTGCTGGACTCCCATGTAGTCAACCGCGGTTTGAGTCCCGGACCTGGTGACTTAAACTCACACCGGGCAAGTGTGCGTGCGTGCCCAAGATCCCGAGAGGAGAATGGAGGAGAAGAGATTGCAGCGTGGCCATCCCTCCTGGGGCTTGATTTCTCACTTTCTGTCTCTCTGTCACTCTTTCTGGCAAGCAAACGTGCCCTATAGGAAAAACTAAAAAAAAAAAAGAAAGAAAGAAAGACAAGCGCATCCAGCAGTAGATCTGACTTTGAGGTGTTGCAGTGGTTCCCATTGCTTGCTCCTGAGAGTTGACGGTGCGAAGCTGCGTGAGCTTGGGCCCTCAGCACAAGAGGTTGTATTCAACCCACAGGGCCAGGCTGACTCCCCTATGCTAAGGGCAAGATAAAGAAGCCAACATTGCACAAGCCAAACACACTGAATACTGACCATATGCCAAGAGCACAGTGCATGTAATTAAAGGAGAGAAATGTGTCATAAGTGTGCGGGTTCTAAAGCAGGCTCAGTTTTTCCTGGAAAAAAACCTTGATTTTTTTTTTCCTCGTTTCCCTGTAAAATATCCCATGACTGAACGACTTCACAAAAACCATCTGAGGCTGCCCTTCGTGTGCTGGATTTCTCAGTCTGCCAGGCTGGAGAGAGACAGAGGAAAAAGTTCACAGATCTCCGTCCAGATTACGTGATTTGTGGCTAGGGCTATTATTTACTGAGTCTATGTTTTTGATTAAATGACAAGAGGCTTCTGTCCTTATTCAACCTCTCAGTACTTTCAACTTATTTGGATAGTTTAAGTGTTTGGGGCTTTTGTTTTTGTTGGTCAAGGTTTTAAGGCTATCTAATGTGACAGCTCCCCAGAAGAGGAGTTGGCTGCAATACTTCGGGTTCATTCCTCATCATTAAGTATATCATTAAAAGAAGAGCAGCCAGCAAGCGAAGATCTTTATTAGTTTTCCTTTGTTGGTTTCCCTGATGAAAATCTTCTCTGATTTCCATCTAGCACATGACCTTATCTTTGCAAAGCCCACTGGTTCTGAAAAGCACACTATGAGCAACCACATATTTTCTGTGACCAGCACCACCTCTGCCTGTGAAGCAATTACACTGACCTGTTCTTTCCATTTTTATCTTCCAAGTGCCTTTCTGTCAGGTTCCAGCAGCGATGGACGGCACAACCACCAAAAATAATTTAGGAAAAGTTCGGTAGAGAGAGTATCTTCGAAGGGGGTTAGAGTTACAGGAAACCAAGAAAGGGTGGTAACACACTCCAGAGTTAGCAACAGTGAGCAGTCATCACCAACTCTTTAGCATGAAGGGGTCTGGGCCCAGAAAGAGAGTCAAAGTTCTTCCTCTACCAGCTCCAGTTACAGTGGCAGGAGAGGAGCTGTGGGCTGTGGTAGATGAAGGACCCACAGACAACTGGTGGTCTGGCAAGGAGAGACGGCGTGAATGAATTCTACACTCTGCCATCCCCCAACCCCTTCCAGTGCTCTTATTGGCTATCTCCAATCGCAAGACAGAGGACAAGGGTGGCTTTTGACACATCCCACAGAGGTGGGCCCCAGAGCAGAGTGGAGAGTGGACCTAAAATGGAAAGTGGAGAATAACTTGTGGACTTTTTTCCTGTCTGAGCCCAGTCCCTGAGAGACCCATCCATGAAGTCTTTTGGTCTATTCTCTGCTCCATCTCTTTGGTTAAAACTTCTAAAATAAGCCATAACCCATTCTATTCACAGGATATTCCTCAATTCTTCTTCTTCAAAGACAGAAGAAAAAAAGAGAAAGTCAAGGGCTAGCTGGTGGCATAGCAGTTAAGGTGCTGGACTCTCACATGGCCAACCGCAGTTTGAGTCCCAGACCTGGTGGTTTGAAAATCCTGCCAGGTGCATGTGCATGCATGCCCAAAATCCCAGGAGGAGAATGGAAAAGAAGGGACTGAAGCATGGTCATCCCCCTTGTAGGGTGATTTCTCACTTTCCCTCTCTCTGTCTCTCTCTGCCTCTCTTCAGTGAGTATACAAGTCCCATGATAAAAATCTAAATAAATAAATAATGGAAGTCATATCACTGAGTCTTAACTATTTGCAAGCCTGTGCTAAAGTAACTTTTGGTGCAGGAAAAGTAGCAGGCCAAGAAGCATATTGTTGTGACTCACTTCCACATGGGGGACAGGAAATAGTATTGAGACATTGGAAAACTCACAACACATTTTTGCATAGAAAAACAGAAAAATGTCATGACTTTTCCAACAACCCAGTACTTTTTGAAGCCAAATTTTTAAGACACTTCTGCCACCAAGGAGGTCCAAGTTATTATAGGAACCAAAGAGACATCATTTGATCGTTGTAATTTGATCATTGAGTACTGTAACAGTACAGACAATGTAACATGGATCCCACCATCCCATCATAAAGAGAACACACCCATGCCACAAAATGTGACACTCATCAAAACTCAACTATCAGCTTCAGCAAAACAAAGCATTTGACCTACCTTCTGCTTCTAGTTTTGACCCCTTTGTTCAGCATTTTACAAACATTTTCTCTAGAGGCCAGTAGATGGCATAGTGATTAAGGCACTGGACTCCCACCTGATCAACCACAATTCAAATCCTGGACCCAGTGGCTTGAAACTCAATGCTGAGTGCATGTGCGTGCATGCCCAAAATCCCAAGAGGAGACTGGAAGAGAAGAGATTGCAGCATGCCCCATCCCCCTACCTGGGGGATGATTTCTTGCTTTCTGTCTCTGTCTCTCCAGAGAGCACACATGCCCTATAACAAAATTCTCTCCAAAAAAATTTTTTTTTGTTCTTCACTAAAGAAATGCCCTAGTTGCATCTGAAAGAACTGATAATCTGAGATCCCCTCTTACACTTGGTCTGGCCCTCTGTAGATACTCTTCCAGTCCTTTGCCTATAAAATATCCAGCACTTTGAGGGCTCTTATGTACAGAATCTGAACTGATAGTATTACTAATAAACCCAAAATGCAATCATGGTCCATCTGGTAGAGTTGTATTTAAAAGATGGCAAGTGACCAATGGAACCTTAATCTGATCCATCCCACAGTCAATCAATTGGGTCCTTGCCCTGCTGTGATCAAAACCTTGGTCCTTGAATGTGTACTTGGAATATATGTAGTTATAAGCTAACAGAATTTTCTTGATTCCTTCATGTATAAAATAGGAGACATTTATAAAGAATTATTTAGTTTTATGTATCATCATCATCTTTTTTTTAATTATTTTCAATTTTGAACAGAGAGAGTGAGAAAGAAAGGGAAAGTGAGAAAGCAAATCACCAGGTTTGGGTCTCAAACAGTAGTTGACCATGTGGTAGTCCAGTACCTCAACTACCATGCCACCTGTCGGCTCCAACACACGTATAAAGTAGTAATAAAGATTAAATGAAAGCCTATGTAGATGCCTTCCTTTTCTGTCCAAGATGGTAAATCAGAAACAATACAACTTTCCAGGTAAAACTGGCAGACTTTGGTGGCACCTGCAAAAATTTAAATGATACAAGGATGGTCTCCTGGAAATTGAAACGTACCATAGCAGATGACAGTGAACTACCTTAAATTTCACCAAGTGGTAGCCCCAACTGTTGCTGCCATTTTGCAGGTTGTATCCTTATAGAATAGATCAACAGTCTCTGGCATTTAGTATGTAATATTTGATCAGACACATGTGTTCTTAAGTCTCCATAAGGAAGAAGAATCAGAGTAGTTTGTATTCAACCTGGGGTGGAAAGCAGTCTTATCTGGGGACTAAGGTAATCCTCCTGTTCTATCCCCGTATAGTCTGAAGGAACCTTTATGTCTGAACACTCTACAGAACATCAGCCTGATCCACTGTATTGATGACATAGACCATGAAGAAGAGTAATACTTGATAGGTCTCTTTGGAGCATAGAACACACTTGAGAATATTGTTCTGGCCCATTTACTGGCCATCTCAGAAGGCTGCTATCAATTTTAGAGAATCGTCCAAAACAAGAGGATCCTGCAGCACGTTCAAGCTGCTATGTAGCAAGCCTTGGAACTTGACCACATAACCCAGCAGACAGAATCGTCCAAAACAAGAGGATCCTGCAGCAAGTTCAAGCTGCTATGTAGTAAGCCTTGGAACTTGGCCACATAACCCAGCAGAATTCATGGAGATGGACGTATCCACAATAGATATGAACAGGCATCCTGTGAGGTGACTGACAAACCATAATGGCTGATTTATGGTAAAGACCTCTAGAATTCTGTAGTAAGGCCATGCCAAATGCAGTAGAGAACTACTTACTGTATGACAAGTACCCCCAGGATACCTCCAGGCCCTAGTAGACACTAAGTGTCTGTGTGATCAGAGCTGTGCATCATGAGTTGAATAGTATCAGAACCACCAAGTCATACAGTAAGGCAGACCCTCCTAGTGACCCACCTGGAGTTTGGCTTTTTTGTCCCCATGACTTTAAGTTCTACTTAATTAAAGGGCCTATTTCCAAGGCACAAAATGTGAGATTTCCTTCTACCAAGGCTAGTAAGTATTCACTAAATCTGAAGTTATGGCTTTTAGCTGTCATGTCATCTCCTCACAATAGATCTGTAGGCAATATGACCCTGATTATGAAACAATAAAGTTGTTGTCACATAATTTTGCAATCACAACCTAGAGAGATGTGTGAGGCCAGTCTTGGTGCTTCTGTGCTTAGTGGTAAGTACAGAGTGCAACTGCACCAGTCCTACCCTAACAAAGGCACCATGACCTTAGAGATGAAGGTCTTTCTTACCTCATAAACAAAACTCATTTTGCGTGCTACCTCTGAGAATTTGCGTCTTACACTAATTTGGAAAAAATAATCAGCTATTATCTTATCAAATATGTTCTCCGTTCTCTGCTCTTACTCCTCTCTTATGGGACACCAAATAAAGACATAATTTCTCACATTATCTTTCTTGTCTTATATCCCCTCTTGCATAATTTCTGTCTCTTCAGCAGCATTTTGGGAAATTTCTTTATATCTAATTTAAATCTTTTTTCAACAGTGCCAAAATCTACTCCCTCATGTTTAAGCTCATTCACTTTACTTTCCACTGAGTTGTTTTGGTTCGTTTTCCGGGACTTTTTTCTTCACTAAAACCTGTTCTCTTCCGCCTCCTCTTTCTTTCCTGCCCGCCATCTAAACCTCCCCACCGCCTAGCTCGCCTCCCAGTTAAAGAGCGGATACAGCCCATCTATAAATTTTTCTGCGTATCAGGAAGGGCCACGCCCAATCTCAATCCCATCCGCCCAATTGGAGCGCACGTCTAAAACACGCACGCGCAGAAAAGTCCGGTTAGAGGCCCGCGAAGGGAGGGGCTTTAAATCTTGCGCAAGCGCATTAGGTCCTGGTCGCTATGCGGGTGCTTGTGGGTAAGGGAGGGCCGAGTCGGAGAATGCGGGGCGGGCTTAACCAAAGGTTGAGAACTGGGAGGCAGTTGCTGGAAAATCAGTGTCGTGTCCAGGCAGCCTGGCCTTGGCATGAGAAGCCGACTCTCCCTACTCCCTGTGTCTCTGCATCGCGGGGAGGAAGGAAGTCTGCGGGCTCATGGCAGCAGAGGAGGGAGCACAAGCTGGGAAGGAAGGCGCCCTTTCCCCTGCAGTTATAAGCAAACTGTGTTTCCTTAACAGGTGGCGGGACTGGCTTCATTGGGACAGCCCTAACCCAGCTCCTGAAAGCCAGGGGCCATGAGGTGACATTAGTCTCCCGACAGCCCGGGCCCGGTCGGATCACGTGGGTAGGTGCCTCCTCCCGAAGCTGGGTGGGGAGGTCTAAGGGTGGGGCCGGGGACACTGCTGTGCTTTCTCTGATAGGACGAGCTGGCCAAGTCGGGGCTGCCCAGCTGTGATGCCGCCGTCAACCTGGCAGGAGAGAACATCCTCAATCCTCTCCGAAGGTCAGCCCCTGCGGATATCCCCCAGAGCAGAGTAGGGAGAGGGCCCGACCCTGAGGAGCTGTGGATAATGGAGTTGCTAACTCCATACCCAGACTACTCATCCCACCCCTGTGCACTAAGCCCACCTTCACCAGCACCTCCACCCAGCCAGCCAGTAGACTTATTTTCTCACGTGTAACTCAGGATACCAAGAAAGACATTTTCCTCTGCAAGAGACATGAACTATTGCTCTTAAACCACAAATATGGTTTTACTAGAAAGGGGTATGGAAGGGGCCCCAGGGGAGAAGAGAAGGAATATAGGCATGTATGGGTTTTGTGGACTTTAATTCCTGTGTTTCTCCTCCAGGTGGAATGAAACCTTCCGAAAAGAAGTGCTCAACAGCCGTCTGGAGACCACCCAAATGCTGGCTGAAGCCATTACCAAGGCCCCACAACCTCCCCAGGCCTGGGTCTTAGTCACAGGTGTAGGTATGCCACCAAATCACCAACCCCTTACATCAAGCCAGAACCAGGGCTGCAGAGGGAGAGGGCAGCTCAGGCCCTTGGAGCTACACACACCCAGGAGCTCTGTGCTTTTCCGAACACAGTAACTTCCTAGGCCCTCATCCATGCATATTTCTCCTGACTCTTGTGTACTCTCACTGAGAAATGGAGGCCCTCAAAGGAAGGAGTGGCACCATTCCCAATACCAGGGGAAAGTCCGCCTACTCCCAAATCCCTTCTCACATCATAGTTTTTTAAGAACAGAGTTCCTGATTGTTCCAAGTCACTTCTGGTACCAAATAATTACAAACGATTATAAAATACATACCAGCCACTATTTTAAGTTTTATACATATTACATCATTTAACCCTCACAAAAACTCTATGAGGTAGGTACTGTTATTCCCATTTTGCAGACACAAAAGTTCCACAGAGATTAAGTAACTTCCCTAAAGTCAGAATTGGTCAACGGTGGAGCTGAGATTAAAACTCAGGCAGCCTGGCACCCATGTTTCTGTTCTTAACCCTCACTCTAGCAGCCTGCTTAGTTCTGCAACCAGAGAAGTTTCTCCAGGATTGGAACCAATCAGGTCATGAAGAAGTTCAAGGGGAAAATGCCCATAGCTCTGTCTTCCCATAAGGAGATCCCAAGGGCCCAAGAGGGTGAGGCAGGCCAGGCCTACGAAGGACCCGTAGGGCAAACAAGTGCTGTTTCACCGGCAGCTTACTACCAGCCCAGCCTGACTGCGGAATATGATGAGGACAGCCCAGGAGGGGATTTTGACTTTTTCTCCAACCTCGTAACCAAATGGGAAGCTGCAGCCAGGCTTCCTGGAGATTCTACACGCCAGGTGGTGGTACGCTCTGGTGAGGACCAAGGGCCTGGGCATCAGATGGGTTGGAATGTCTTCTCTGGAACAAGAGAGTGGTTGGGATCAGGGAGCCGAGTTTGGGGGTGGGGGGGCTGCCACAGTTCTGGCCACCCTGCAGATAGGATGGGAAGACCCGGAGAGCCATGCCCCTAACTCCATTACAGAGCTGAGTCCTTATGGGCAAAGAGTGAGGAAGGGGAAACTGAGAGGAGCAGGAAGGAGCAGTTACTGCCTCAAGACTGAAGGGCCTCCTTGAACCATCCCTCTTGTCTGCCCCAGGGGTTGTGCTGGGCCGTGGGGGTGGTGCCATTGGCCACATGCTGCTACCCTTCCGCCTGGGCCTGGGAGGCCCCATCGGCTCAGGCCACCAGTTCTTCCCCTGGATTCACATCGGGGACCTGGCAGGAATCATGGCTCATGCCCTTGAAGCAAACCACGTGCAGGGAGTTCTGAATGGCGTGGCGCCAGCCTCCACTACCACCAACGCCGAGTTTGCACAGGCTTTGGGCAGTGCCCTGGGTCGCCCTGCCTTCATCCCTCTCCCCAGCGCTGTGGTGCAAGCTGTCTTTGGGCGAGAGCGTGCCATCATGCTGCTGGAGGGCCAGAAGGTGGTCCCGAGGCGGACACTGGCCACAGGCTACCAGTATTCCTTCCCAGAGCTAGGGGCCGCCTTGAAGGAAGTTGTAGCCTGAGCAGGGAGGCTTATACGGAGGCCTGAGGCTTGTCCCTCCACAGAGGCTTCTTGGTCAGATACTTAGACAGGCTCAGATGCCTCTCTGCTTTGTATCTGAAACCATCTGGTTCTCAGAGAATCCTCTCCATTCCCCTTTCCGCCCCATTGTTCTGCCACTCCACCGTATTTAAATAAAGACTGTCCAGTCAATAAGGTTGTAATCCCATCAAATTGGGACCTTAACCCCTTCCAATCTGTGTGAATTTCCAAGTTTAGTTTCTCTAGGTGTCCCACTGCTGCCCCAGTTCTCCTTTATGCTGTGTAGAGAATGTGCTGCAGCTAAGGCAATAAAGATAAATCATCTCACTAGCTTTGGCTCTTCTTGTCTTAGATTCTCCTGGAATTTCACCCTAGATGACTCTCCCCTACATGAGCTTTTTAAAGTTATAATAGGCAACATTTCTTCACCCTTCCTCAACTTGGTTCCTCCCTTGCCAAAAGAGCTGGTCACAGATTTGAGACATGAGGCTATGATGAAGGTAGAGATTAAAAGACAAAATAAATGATGATCCATTTCCAGTGGGTCCTGTAGTCACCCTGCACACCTGTTCAGAGCACCAAGTCTGCATCACCAAATGGCAGTAAATAACTAAAGCAATCACACACTGGTCCCAGCTTATCAAGCTGCAGCAGGACAGCCCACAACCCTGTCTGTAAGCAGCTAGGGCTTTGCTTCTCATCTGAGGCCACTTCAGTCAAGCAGAACCTTTAGTACAAAAGGACAAAGACTTCTCTGGCCCACTGCACACCCACCGTCACTGGTAAAGTGGAAAGGGCAGGAAACCAATGAAGAGCTACAAACTCAGCCCCATATGGAAAATGAAAGCACCCCAACTATTCATTTAGGACTCTATCATAAATTATGATTTATGCCACGACAACCAAAAGTAGTTCTCCCAGCCCAATTTGGCCACATTAAATATTCTTTCTTTCCAGGGGACAATGTATTGTCTTTGACTAATTGTCATCTCCCTGACCAGCCCTATCTGTAACACACCTGCCCCAGCTCCTATCAATATGGTCTAGTTAATTACCAACAGGGACAGGAGCAAAGACATAGGGTCCCAAGGACCCTCACTGCCATCATCCATCCCCCCCCCACCCCTTGCAGGATTCAACTCCATGTGCCTCTCAGAGGAAGTGGACATCAGAGCCTAGAAAGGATCTTGTCCAGGGACTTGCAGCATGACCCAGGCAGAATAGAACCCAGGGGCACTGTCCCACCTCTTTATCTGGTCTTGGGCTCTAGGAAGTTGACTGGCTCTAATATTCCTCGGGAAGTAACGAGCCTCAGAAGTCACAGGAAAGCTGACTGGAGACTGGGCTAACGTAAAGGCTGCTAACACTGGAACCCAGGGGACGTGCCACCTGGGAAGCAGGGAATCCCTGCGTGGGAGGACTTCAGGCACACGGCCATCACATGAAGCGATCAGTGGACAAAGCAGCTGTGATGCACCAGCAGAGTTGCTCTGGGGGCCAGTCAGGGACCTTCCCGCTCAGATCCTTCCGGTTTCATTTTCAGGTAACTGTTCCATCTAAACACAACCTCTACGAGCCTACACACACACACAGTGCAGAAGTTTGCCTCGCTTTATACAACGGATGCCTGGTGTAGAGGAGAGGAAGGGTCAGATCACATTGTCATGGCCGAGCCTGTCTTCATCGGTCTGGTGAACACTCTGAATCCTTCACCAAAAGTATCTAACCCAGGACTTTCAGACATATTTGTTAATCTATAAACAAACATTTGGATGCAATGAGAGAGCTGCCATTTATAGGAACCCTGAGAGTATTTTGGTAATGAAAACAGTCACCCCTAGTTTAACTATTTTGCAGATGTAGATTTTGGAAGTTGCCCAAAGGGAAGCAGCCATGGTAAGGCATGTTATACTGAGGACGCAGTGTTCAAATCAAGGCCACAGGCCCTGGAGACAGATGACTCTCCCCTACATGAGCTTTTTAAAGTTATAATAGGCAACATTTCTTCACCCTTCCTCAACTTGGTTCCTCCCTTGCCAAAAGAGCTGGTCACAGATTTGAGACATGAGGCTATGATGAAGGTAGAGATTAAAAGACAAAATAAATGATGATCCATTTCCAGTGGGTCCTGTAGTCACCCTGCACACCTGTTCAGAGCACCAAGTCTGCATCACCAAATGGCAGTAAATAACTAAAGCAATCACACACTGGTCCCAGCTTATCAAGCTGCAGCAGGACAGCCCACAACCCTGTCTGTAAGCAGCTAGGGCTTTGCTTCTCATCTGAGGCCACTTCAGTCAAGCAGGACCTTTAGTACAAAAGGACAAAGACTTCTCTGGCCCACTGCACACCCACCGTCACTGGTAAAGTGGAAAGGGCAGGAAACCAATGAAGAGCTACAAACTCAGCCCCATATGGAAAATGAAAGCACCCCAACTATTCATTTAGGACTCTATCATAAATTATGATTTATGCCACGACAACCAAAAGTAGTTCTCCCAGCCCAATTTGGCCACATTAAATATTCTTTCTTTCCAGGGGACAATGTATTGTCTTTGACTAATTGTCATCTCCCTGACCAGCCCTATCTGTAACACACCTGCCCCAGCTCCTATCAATATGGTCTAGTTAATTACCAACAGGGACAGGAGCAAAGACATAGGGTCCCAAGGACCCTCACTGCCATCATCCATCCCCCCCCCACCCCTTGCAGGATTCAACTCCATGTGCCTCTCAGAGGAAGTGGACATCAGAGCCTAGAAAGGATCTTGTCCAGGGACTTGCAGCATGACCCAGGCAGAATAGAACCCAGGGGCACTGTCCCACCTCTTTATCTGGTCTTGGGCTCTAGGAAGTTGACTGGCTCTAATATTCCTCGGGAAGTAACGAGCCTCAGAAGTCACAGGAAAGCTGACTGGAGACTGGGCTAACGTAAAGGCTGCTAACACTGGAACCCAGGGGACGTGCCACCTGGGAAGCAGGGAATCCCTGCGTGGGAGGACTTCAGGCACACGGCCATCACATGAAGCGATCAGTGGACAAAGCAGCTGTGATGCACCAGCAGAGTTGCTCTGGGGGCCAGTCAGGGACCTTCCCGCTCAGATCCTTCCGGTTTCATTTTCAGGTAACTGTTCCATCTAAACACAACCTCTACGAGCCTACACACACACACAGTGCAGAAGTTTGCCTCGCTTTATACAACGGATGCCTGGTGTAGAGGAGAGGAAGGGTCAGATCACATTGTCATGGCCGAGCCTGTCTTCATCGGTCTGGTGAACACTCTGAATCCTTCACCAAAAGTATCTAACCCAGGACTTTCAGACATATTTGTTAATCTATAAACAAACATTTGGATGCAATGAGAGAGCTGCCATTTATAGGAACCCTGAGAGTATTTTGGTAATGAAAACAGTCACCCCTAGTTTAACTATTTTGCAGATGTAGATTTTGGAAGTTGCCCAAAGGGAAGCAGCCATGGTAAGGCATGTTATACTGAGGACGCAGTGTTCAAATCAAGGCCACAGGCCCTGGAGACAGCCTACATCTCCCCGGAAGTGAGGTTGGTCAGGAAGCCCATGTGGCCACAGGCAGACACACCTGAGACTTGTTCCTCCAAGGACCTTTCCTCTGTTCTCACTTTCCTTCCCGACAAGTATCTTCACCTCTGATTTACAGGCAAAAGTAAATGCAGGCTGCTCAACCAAGGTCACAGACAGGCACTGCCGAGACCAGAAGCCAAGTCTCCCTGTGCCTTCCCCAAATCACTGCCACCCGCAGCAACCCAGCCCGCTACCACCACAGGCCCTGCAGGGCCTGCATTCCCGTCAACACCCCCAGGAGCTTCGGCAGGCCTGGGAAGCAGCTCATCCTCATCATCCAGAGCAGCAGGAAGAGGAACGGCTCAGCTTCCTTGTCACCTCCTGCCCACCCTGGCCTCCACCCCAACCCAGCTCCACGGCTTACCTTCCCAGCAGCCCCACTCCCTAGAGACCCTGTGCTAAGGTGAGGTTGAGACGTTAAGGCTGAGCAGAACCTCTCAAAAGCGGTTGAGGTCCTGACTTGAGATGAGATCAGGTCACTTTATAGACCTGTCCCTAAAGTGTCCCAGGCAAGAGCATTCCTCACATTCAAATGCTCTTCTTCAGTGCTTCCCTCACCCAAAGCACCAACCCAGAGAGTCTGGGTCAGATAAAGAGCAGCAGAGGGACTCTCACAGAAGGGGCTGAGCTGTGTGTGGCTGGAGCCAACAGGTGGCAGCCACTTAGGCAGAGGAGGCTCAAAAGTTGAGACTGAGCAGGGCCTCTGACAACTGGTTAATGTCCCGGCAGTATGGCTCCCGCTGCAGGATGAAGTCCACCTTGTGATCCTGACCCCAGAACACTTCTAGCAGCTGGCGGCGGAGCCGCTCAGTCTCCCGGGTCTTGCGGATGCCAACACTGCCTTTTTCCTCTTCTCGCCCCTGCTGCTGATTACCATGTTCTTTGAAGACCTTGGAAGGGTGCTGAGCCTTAGAAGACCCCTTCGCCCTGAGAAGCAGAGTAAGAAGAGCTGGTAAGCATCATGGAAGGAGATTAGACCAAGTGGGCCTTCCCCTTCTTAATGGCCCTGCCTATTCCTGACTCTGGGGAGCAGTCCTGAAGTTCCCCAAGCTGACCACTGAGTGGCAGTATCAGCCCACTTGTGAAAAGGAGACAAAGTTCTTTAGGAAAGAGGAAGGAATATCGCTAATATCAGGAACTAGCTCTAGTCCTAAAAGAATCATTTATTTAAAGGTCCAGCAGAGGGCATGCTGAATATAACTGGCTGTCAGTACAAGCAACCATCTTCCAAATAAACTCCAAACACACTGACGAGGGGAAACAGGAGTCTCTCCCAGCCAGGAGGTTCCATGTCAGGATTCCCTAGGAAGCTTTAAAAGGCCAAGCCCAAGGCACTTCCAACCACTGCACAGGCTGGTCCAATCCCAGGTCATGCTTCCACCCAAGTCTCCTGGGGGTGGTTTGCAGGGAGTCTAGGACAATACCTGGCTGGCTTCTTCAGGAACTCTTCCAGCGTGGGGCCATTCCGCCCCAGGGGGTCATCTGGGACCATGAAGAGGTTTCCCACAAAGGTGAAGGGCAGCAGACTAGACCGGGAAAGAGAACGTGTGGTCACAGAAAGGCCCTCGCCTGCCTCCAGACAGCTGAAACCTGCACCACCAGAACCTGCTGGCTGCCGTCCTGGGAGGCAACTTCGAGGCCCTTCCCAGAGTTCTTGCCCAGTGGCCAGAGCAGAGCTGGTTTTAGAAAAAAGCCTGAGTCCATGCCCAGTTCTCAGGGGAGGGCTCCCTCACCGCTCTCTGATGATTGCCATCCACTTCTCCGATTCCTCTGCTAGGTCCCGGAACTGGTCATTGGAGACAATGATCCCATCGGTCTCTTCTGCCAGCTTCACCATGAACCTGTCTCGAAAACACAGCACCCATTCTGGGATTCTCCAACACCCCCACACACAAACACACACACAGTGTTACTGACTCCCATGACTCACTTCTGGTGCCATGGATTACAGAGGAAATGAAGATGGATCGAAGGTGGTCTCCCATCCATTCACAACCCTCCACCCAGCACTTTGTGCCTCATTAGTAAGATGGTAAGGTCTGGCTTTGATTCAGCCCCTCCACCCTCCCCCACCAACCCCTCATAAATCCAACATGTTCTTCCTCTGGAAAGCCTCCCACCCTGCCCCCTTCCTTCCTTCCCAGTTCCACCACTACCACCCTAATGACTCGGGATACTGCAAAGGAAGGAGGTGGTGCAGAAGCTACTACCGAGGGGGCTCCCTGCCTGTAATCACTGATCATCCTTCAGTCTCTCCTGCCCTCACTCAAGAAAGCATGCTGTTCTCCTACATAAACTCTTCCAAACTTGTCCTTTATCTACCAAATAAAGTCCAGATATTCAGACCTGGCAGCTGGTCCTCTTAAAACCCAGATCTAAGCCAGCTTCATGGCCTTTTCTCTTCCAGCATTCCCAAGGTACACTTGACTCCGGCCAGAATCAATGAGCAGATTAGACCCTGCTCTCCAAACACACCCTGCACGGTCTGACTGCCACAATTCTCCAACTAGTCCCTCCATCTAGACGGTGTTTCCCAAACCTTGCTGGGGATTAATGGGAGGGGAGGGATTTGTGAATCTATCAGTTGAGAAGCATGTGGGCTGCACCTCTCAGATTCTAAACCTGTTAAAGGACCACCACTCACCCCCCCACAAGTCCTGACCCAGTTTTATAGTATCAGAATTTCTGAAGTGAATCATGTCCTAAAGAATAAAAAACTTATAATTGCAAAATGTCTTAAACTGGCTGATTAAACAGAGGAAAATAGAGATAATCCCCTCGGCCACACTTGACTGGGCCCATGCAAAGTTACGAAAGAATATCACTGTCCTCTTGCTTCCTACCGTGAGGGAGGCAAGCACAGACCTTACCTTGTCTTGATATGCACAAGGAGGTTGAGTGAATGGAGGAGGGCCCTGGGACAAGGAGGCTAACTAAGAGATGGGTCCATCGTCCAAGTCAATCTGTACTGTCACTTGGGGCTCACATTCAGAGCTTCCGATTCTAGGGCCAGTGACCTTTCCACTAGTGGTGTTTTGTACAGGCCTGTTAGTCATGGATTGTGCTGCTTCTTTTCACTTATTCTGAATATTTACTCTGGCTTTCCCAGAGTGTTGGGGAGTTTCTCTATGTGTTGGAAAATTCAAAGAAAGTATCTGTCAGCTATTCATGTCACCAGCTTTCTGAGGTTTCCATTAAAACAGTATTTTCTAGACAGCGAGGCACTCTATAAATACAAGGTGTCATTTAGTTGATGAATGAGAAATGAATGACGAACAAGAAAGCAGTTGTCTACAGTCTGTCTCCTCGCACCTGCAGGCAGGTCCACCTACCCAGACATTTGGGCCCTGGGTAAGTGGGGACCAAGACCTGGGGACGGTGCAAACAGTCCCCAGTTCCCCCCGTGCTCCTTGAGTATCGAGCTGGGGCCGAGAGGAAGAAGTACCTGTCATCATAGGAGGAGATCCTCTTGCCATCCATGACGCGGGAGGGGGTGAGGGAGAGCAGGCTGAGGGAGTACAGCTTTTGCAGAAAGTGACTCTCTATACGAAAAGAAGAGCACAACAGGTTCCTCCTCAAAGTGGAAACAGAGCCTCTCCCAGGCAAGACAAGTCCTGGCCCAACTCACCTCTGACCTTGGCGTCCTTACTGAAGCGCCACTGAGGTACAAAGACGGTTATGTCACGGTGGCCTCGGTCCCAGAAGTACTGCACAGCGAGGGCAATGCCCCGGCTAGAGAAATAGTGCTGGAGGCCATGCCTATGGTGGGAAGCGGGCAGGACTCAGACGGCCCAGGAGGAGCCTGGCAGCAGTGCCACCCCCTCAGCACGTGTCCCCAACATGGACAAAGATGCCTGTCTCATTCCCCCCTCCCCAGGACCCTCAGCCCTACCAGGTACTCACACCATGGCCACGTTGCTGCCATCAATGACAATATGGCGGAGGTTTGGCCGGCCAGGCACATTGGCAAGGCACAGGGTGAAAGGATCCTGTAGGGCCTCTTGGAAACGCTGGGTGCCAGTCACCAAGTTGCCCCCACGGGGGCCTCGTTTCCATGGGGATCCCCGACCTCGGACCACAGTCTGCTGTTTGTCTCCCCTGTCTTCCCGGTCTCCACAGTGCCATGGGGGTTCAGGCGCAGGTGGAGGGCTAGGCACTCTTGGGGGCGAGGCTTGCCCATTGTGGAGCCGCTGATGGAGGGAGGCTCCCCGGGGATGAGTCCCCCTCTGGGAGGGGCCATGGGCACCAGGAGGCTCACCCTGCACACAGAGCCCTCCTGTTTCCTGAGTCACCCCCTCCTTACCTGGAGCCTTCCCTTTCAGCAGCCCCACTGCCCCTGCCCCTCCGCTCCATAACTGTGGCCTGAAGCCCACCTCTCTCCCCCAGGTCTCTTCCCCAGGCAGCTCCTTCCACCCCAAATCCATCTGCTTGGGACCACACTGCTTCCTCTCTCCCTCCTGCTCCCCTGCTTGGCTCTCTCCCCTCCTTCCCATTGGCTCTTCCCACCCCACAAACCCAGTGTCCAGGGACTCCTTGCTTTCACTTGGGGAATCTCTGACTCCCTGGTGCTGAGCACCCAGCCAGTCAAGGCTCCTCCCCTGCCCCCTGGCCGCCTCCTGCACCAGACTCAGCAGCTCCTCCTGGACAGACAGGGGCAGCCGCAGCAGGGCCTCGCTATGGGCCTCCCCCCAGGGCTGCAACAGGGCAGAGAAGTCTCTCAGCACTCCAGCATTCTGAGAGGCTGCAGGGGAAGGCCCTCGCAGCAAGTCCCAGCTCAGCCTCTCCGTCAGTTCCTCCACCCGACTCTGAGCCATGACAAAGGCCTCAGTCAGGCCACTGATCACCAGTGAGCCAGGTGCCCCCGGCACAAGGTGGGCTGATGTGCTCCAGGTCAGACAGTCAAGGAAGAAGCCCTGGGCTCCCAGGAAGATGCAGTGCAGCTCGGGTGGGTAGTGGATTTCATCCTGCATCTCCGGGCTGCAGAGACCCTTCAGGTATTCCTGAAAAGAGAACAGAAGAAATAGGAAACTGCTGGAATCCTAAGTAGCCTGGACACCCCCTTAGCACACTGCTCTCCCCTGAGCTCAAGGATGCCTGGACTATCTGTGTGGATACCACTTTTATTCTCATTTCACAGATAAAGAAACCAAGACTCCAGGGCCAACAGGTGGCATGGAGGTTAAGGCACCTGGATCCCACACGGCCAAATGCATGGTTCAAGTTCTGAACCCAGCGACCTGAGAAACACAAGGAGTGTGTGTGCGGTGCACGCGCGCTCAAAATTCCCAGAGAATAGAAGAGAAGAGATTGTAGCATGGCCATCCTCTCCCCCCAAGGGGGGTTCTTTCTCTTTCTCTCCCCCCCCCAGGAAGCACATGTGCCCTGTGGCAAATTTTAAAAGAACAGGAAACTGAGATTCCCATCACAAGGCGCCGCCTGACTCTAAAGAGAGCACCGACCCTGTGCCCCCACCTCCCACCTCCCAGTGGGTTCCTCTGTGAGGCCCACTCGCTCAGCCGAATGTGTTCTACTTTCCCAAGAGCACAAAGTGACTTGTCCCCAAATCACAGGAAAAATGAAACCAAACCTGCAGACCAAAAGTTAGGAAATCCCTAAAAGCTCAGGGGCACTGAGGTCGCCAGCCAAGAGGTGGCGCTCCCTCCCCCGCAGCTCCCACCCCTCCTCTGCCTCCTCAGGGACCGCAGCCCCGTTTCCCAGGGAGGGTCAGGCTAGGGAGTTCACCTTGGCTCGGCTGGCGCTCTCCCTCCGGCCCTCCAGCTGCAGCCAGATGTGAGGGCCTCTCAGCACTCCAGCATTCTGAGAGGCTGCAGGGGAAGGCCCTCGCAGCAAGTCCCAGCTCAGCCTCTCCGTCAGTTCCTCCACCCGACTCTGAGCCATGACAAAGGCCTCAGTCAGGCCACTGATCACCAGTGAGCCAGGTGCCCCCGGCACAAGGTGGGCTGATGTGCTCCAGGTCAGACAGTCAAGGAAGAAGCCCTGGGCTCCCAGGAAGATGCAGTGCAGCTCGGGTGGGTAGTGGATTTCATCCTGCATCTCCGGGCTGCAGAGACCCTTCAGGTATTCCTGAAAAGAGAACAGAAGAAATAGGAAACTGCTGGAATCCTAAGTAGCCTGGACACCCCCTTAGCACACTGCTCTCCCCTGAGCTCAAGGATGCCTGGACTATCTGTGTGGATACCACTTTTATTCTCATTTCACAGATAAAGAAACCAAGACTCCAGGGCCAACAGGTGGCATGGAGGTTAAGGCACCTGGATCCCACACGGCCAAATGCATGGTTCAAGTTCTGAACCCAGCGACCTGAGAAACACAAGGAGTGTGTGTGCGGTGCACGCGCGCTCAAAATTCCCAGAGAATAGAAGAGAAGAGATTGTAGCATGGCCATCCTCTCCCCCCAAGGGGGGTTCTTTCTCTTTCTCTCCCCCCCCCAGGAAGCACATGTGCCCTGTGGCAAATTTTAAAAGAACAGGAAACTGAGATTCCCATCACAAGGCGCCGCCTGACTCTAAAGAGAGCACCGACCCTGTGCCCCCACCTCCCACCTCCCAGTGGGTTCCTCTGTGAGGCCCACTCGCTCAGCCGAATGTGTTCTACTTTCCCAAGAGCACAAAGTGACTTGTCCCCAAATCACAGGAAAAATGAAACCAAACCTGCAGACCAAAAGTTAGGAAATCCCTAAAAGCTCAGGAGCACTGAGGTCGCCAGCCAAGAGGTGGCGCTCCCTCCCCCGCAGCTCCCACCCCTCCTCTGCCTCCTCAGGGACCGCAGCCCCGGTTCCCAGGGAGGGTCAGGCTAGGGAGTTCACCTTGGCTCGGCTGGCGCTCTCCCTCCGGCCCTCCAGCTGCAGCCAGATGTGAGGGTTCTCGGGACAGTCCTTGGGCAGGACGCTCATCCTCACGCTGAAGATGCGCTCCACATCGCTCTGCTGCATCCGCACCTTGTTTTCTGCCTCCGCAGACACGGCAAAGCGGTCTGGGGACAGAGAGCCAGCCTCCCAAGTGGGCATGGCTGCTTCCCCCAGCCCTGGAAGGCGAGAAAGCGTCTCAGAGCCTCACTTGCCCCTGCACCCAAATCCTGGTCTCTGGCCTATGGCAGCTATCAACAGGTCGCACGTAGTTACTATCCTGGTAAACAACCCCAGGAGGTCACAAGTATCTGAGGCCATCTTGGGGGCAAGGAGAAAGCTCCGAATAGCCAAACCCTGGCGTTCTCCCCGGAGAGGAAGTAGTGGGTAAACAAGGCTGTCCATCTGGGATGGGCGTCTGGCTTTTGGAAAATGATGACCACAGCCCTGAGCAGAAAGGGTGGGGGATCCGGCTCGGCTTGCAGGCCAGGAGTGGGCCGATGCCGAAAGAGACCCTCTCCGGGGGAAGCCTGCAATCTCCAGGTCTAAGACGACCTCTTAGATGAAGCCTCACCAGGGACTTGCCCTGGGCTCGCCTCTGGGGCCCCCGTCTGCCATTTCCGAGGTTTCGGCCACTCCTACCATCCCCCTCCCGCAGCCGCCCGCGGG